ATATGTTGTGTTTTCCTTTTTAATCAGTTCAGAATACTTTCTACTTTCTTTTGTGATTTCTTCTTTGACCCATGGGTTATTTAAAAATACATTTAATTTTTAAATATTGAGGGATCATCTGAGTATTTTTCTGTTATGGATTTGTACTCAAATTCTTTTGTGGACAAAGAACACACTTTATTCTTAAATCTATTTTTACTTTTTAAGTTTGAACTAATTTTAGGATTACAGGAAAGTTGCAAAACTTGTACAGAGAAATTCTTCATATTCCTCATCCAGCTTCCCCCAATGATAATATTTTACATAACTATAGTACAATTGCTAGAACCAAGTAATTAACATTGGCGTAATACTTTTAAGTAAAGACCATGTTCTAGTTTCACCAGTATTCCCATTAATTACATTTTCCTGGATCCCTATCCAAGCTCCTATGTTGCATTTTGCTGGGTTTTTTTTTAGTTCCCTGCAATCCCTAACAATTCCTTAATCTTTCCTTATGTATCATGACCTTTCAAAGATAATTCACTGGCTCTTTTGTCAAATGGCCCTCAATCTGGATTTGTTTGATGTGTTATAATGATTGGAGGTCTTGTCCTTTTGGCAAAAAGTGCACAGAAATGATGTTGGATTCTTCTTGGTGCATCACGTGGAGTTCATGATGGTGACATGTCTTATTCCTGGTGATGTTGATCTTGAGCTCTTGGTCAAGGTGGTTTCTGCCAGGTTTTTCCACCAAAAATATAATATCTTTTTCTTTATAGTTAATACATATTTTGGGGGCAATTCTTTGAGACTATGAAAATTCTGTTTTGCCTCACACTCTCACCACTAATTTTAGAATTCCTGAGTAGATTTTTTCCGCAATAATTATTACTGTGGCATTTGTCTAATGGTACTTTTCCAGTTCTCTCTTACCTTCTATATTTATTAACTGGAATTCTACCATATGGAAGAGCTGTGTCTTCTCCCCTATTATTTACTGAATCAAGTACTTATTTATATCAATATAAACTCATGAATATTTACTTTATTCTGTAAGTTATAACCCACTACTCTAATTATTTTGTTGCTCAAATTGCTCCAGCTTTGGACATTAACAGCTCTTCAGTTTGGCTCCTGTTGTCCTTTCAATAAGACTTTATCTTTTTAATCTTCTGCCACTAAAAGATGTTCCAGGTTCACGTTATATTTTCTCTGTCTTAGTCCTGGAATCATTAACTTCTCCAAGGAATTCTGGTTCCTTTTATTGGAGAATGATGTTTAGAAACCATGATCTGGGCGCTAGTTGTGCTTATTACTACTGAGGTGCTGTTAGGCCCCCTAGTGGGCAGAGCTACTAACACACACCTGTACGCCTCTCTCTCCCCACCCCCATTTCTCTGTAATATCACACTCTCTTTTTCCCTCTCTGTCTTTAAAATACCACTTCTCTTTCTCTTTAATACACCACTTATAACATAAGACATATGATATCATACCTCTTGTAGCTGTTGCTTCATGAAAATGGTTGTCATGTTATTTGGTGCATAAATATTAATAAGTGTTGTGCCTTTTACTGTAGATCATGGCGTTTAACATTAAAAAGTGTCCTTCTTTGTCATGTTAAATGCTCTTTGGCCTGAATTCTTCCTTACCTGGTATCAGGATTGCTTCCCTCACTTTTTCTCGTTTTGTTTTTATTTCCACTTGCCAAGTATACTTATGCCCATCCCTGTATTTTTAGCCTTTCTGAATCCCGTTATTTTAGATTCATCTCTTTTACACAGCATATAGTTAGGTTTATTTTGTGAACCAACTTTTAAATCTTTTTTTTTAGATGAGCTAAGCTCATTCATATTTATTGTTATAACTGACAGGTTTGATCTCAACTTTATCATAATATTTTATAATGATGTATATTTTGTTATATTTGCTACTATTTTTCTTAGGGGACACTCTTTATATGTTTTAAACCCACTTGAATTTTTGAGACTTGTTTTATGGCCCACCATATGGTTTATCTTGTTTTTGTAATTGATTTGTAAGAGCTCTTTATATATTAAGGATATAGATCCTATATCAAATATGTCATAAACTTTCCCTGTTTTTAATTCATGTATAAGGTGATTATCTGAGAAGAGGGAGTCAAATGAAGAGCTGCATATTAAAAAGGGTGAATATTTCTCTGTTATACACATAGAAATACTTGAATACTTGAGTCTATTCTCTCTATGTGCAACTGTATTAATTGAGATCTTCGTCATTTCTTTCCTGGATTATTAGGCAACTCAGTTAACTGTTTGTCTCTAGAATTCTTTGTTTGTAGAACATATACTACCTCTCAGATCTTTTTTTTCTTAAAATTATTTGTGTGATTCATCTATAAGTTTCCTGGTTTTATACAGTGGAAAGTTATCAATTATCCAAATAACAAAATGTGACTAGTGCTCAGCTCTTTTATGGGCAAATTTTAATAAATTTTCCTGATTCAGTTGATATGTACTTGATCTAATAAAGTGTCATGTTTGATATAGTCATTTTATGTGACAAAATGATTAGTCCAGGCAGGATGATCAAACACCCTGTGCATCACCTAAAAGTTACATGGGAAGTGGGAGTAATCAATGTCAGGCAGCACCTCCAATTTCTCTCCTCCCCAGCCCCAGCCTGTCACATTCCCGTCACACCGAACTTAAAGGTCCTTAGTCACATCAGGTTCTCTTAACCCTCCCTGCCTCAACCCTTTCCTTAACCCTTTCCTCAACCCAATCCCTTCCCTTACTAGCAAATTCCAACTCATTCGCCAAGAGCCTGCTCACTTGTGGTTTCTCTGCGATAGTGGCAGGATATGGGATCTTGCTGCAGGGTGTGAGAGTTTTAACGGCCTGGGAGGGATGGTTCCCGTGTACCCCTCGTGCCAGAACTGCTCCTTCTCACCTTTCAGGATTCTTTGTCTGACAAGTCACATCAGCCAGGAAGTCTTCTCTGAACTTCTCAGTCATGGGACTCCTCTGTGTCCTATTTCTATCATCCTTAATTTCCATTCTCATTCTCCTGTAGGGTGTTGGCCTGTCTCCCGGCCTATTTCCCCATTAGAAAGGGGGCCTTCTGGGAGCAGGGACCATGCCTTTCCCATTCACTGCCGGGTCTCTAGATGTCAGCACAGTGCCTGGCACAGGAGAGGGCTGAAGTAATATTTTTTGAATAGCTAAATGCAGGGTTCCACTACATGTAAGTGTTTGATGCTAACCAGGGCAATTATTTAGGTCTCAGTTCCTATATCTATAAAATGAGGAGAGGGTTATGGTGAGAATTACATAAAATCATATTTGCAAAATGCTTACCAGTGGCGCCAGCACTTAGTAAATGCTCAATAAATGATAATGGTTGTCATTATTATTCAGGAATTACCAACGGGCTTTGTTCTGTTGCGAAGTCAAAATGTAGTTTGAGAAAGTAAATAATAAAAGACTATAAGCATAAAACTAAGATTCTTAATAATATCAGACATCCAGGCTTACTGCTGGATCCACAGCTTTGGCCAACAGTGTTGGTGGTTTGCTATTTTTTTAAAAAAATATTTTAGTAATATTCTAGACACCTCACCTTGAAGAGTCACTAAAAAATACACTCAATAATATCATCATGAGTGGTCTTGGCAGAGTTGCAAAGCAAATGTGGAACTGAAGAATTCAAAGAACTATTATCATTCTGGAAAGGCAGCTGGCTTCTCGAATGTGAACCAACCACTTGCGGAAGTAAAGCTCATCTGCATGAGTGGGAAGTGAAAAGGTCATGTCATACCCCAATGCTAAAACCTTCCAATGACTTCCTATTGCATTTAGAAAAAGCCCAGCTCTTCACCGCGGCCCTCCAGACCCTGGTGACCTGGCCCCTGCCCCCTTCTCTGAACTCACCTCTTACATTCCTGCCACAAGTTCTAACACATGTCATTCATCCTGGCCTCAGGGCCTTTGCACTTGCTGCTTGGAGTGCTCTTCTGCTCCATCTTTGCACAGCTGCTCCTTATAATTTCGGTTTCACCTCCAAGGTCACTTCATCAAGGGAACCTCCAGCCTGCCCTAAGTGTGCCCATTCCAAACTCTCCCCTCTGACCCATTACCTTTTGCACTTGTCACCATCTAAAATAATGCTGTTATATAAGTGTTCGTCTATTGTCTGTCCCTCTGTGAGGGAATGGGCATACTCCATCTTGTTTACCACGTCTCTGGCACCTAAAACAATGCTTGGCGTATAGTTGATGCTCAGTAGATATTTCTTGACAGGTGCTGCTGCTGGGTGCACGAACAGTCTTGGGAGAATTTTTCCCAAGGGACTTGGCCATCAGCCTGTGTCCTGCTCTGATCAGATTACACCCAGCTCGTGGAAGCTATGAAAATCCAAATGCAGTAATAACAAGGCCAGATGAATATTTGTTTTGTTATTAATACTTTATCTTATTCTGAAAAGCAGTTGTGGTAGAGTCATAAACACAAGTAATAGAAAAATCATGAGGAGACGTGCAGGACCAGGAAAAGGGCCATTCGAACTGGAGGCCTGTGTGGGAGAAAGAGAAAGGTATTCGGGACAGGAATTCTGAAAGGCCACGATGACTGGCAATTTAACTGTAAACCTGTTCCTGAGCTTCCTGGCATATTTATAGAATTCTCTGTTGTCTACAAAGACAAAGCATCTTTTTTGTCCCAAGAAAAACAAAACTATTCCTGGCACAGAGTTCTTATTGTCACCTAGGCCAGGTGACAAACCCACTGAGGAATAAAGAGGATGATGCGTTGGAACCCTACCCCTTCCCCAAGATTGTTTCTTGCACAGCTTGGAGACGGGCAGGACAGTGAAGAGCAATGACACAGCGAAACACACCAGCAGCCTCCAGCAATGGCTTTGTCACCTCGTGCTGAGCATTTTCCCTTTCTGAGCCTTAGCTTTCTCATCTGAAATACGGGGATTCCTGGTATTTTTGCTGAATAGTATGGACACGTAATGGAAGGACAAAAGAAAGATTATCATTATTCCCTTTATCATTCCAACCGAGATCCAAGGATGGCAGCCGGACCCGTATTCTTCCCTGAAGTTTGTCCAAGATGCAGGCACGCTTTTGATGGCCCCTCAGGAGACTCGTCCTCTGCCGGCTGACGTGCCGGAGCTCTGCTGGGGAACAGCAACCGCGGGGAGACAGACGAGGCTAGATTTTCCAGGACGGGCTGGGGAGGGAGGTCTCCCCTGGACGTGGAGAACAAAGGGGAATTACGTTCCGTCTTCTCTGACTGCGAAGGGCTGCTGTGGGCCTGCCCACCTGCGCGCTGGGAGCCCTGACAGCTCCAGGGCCAACTGCCGTTGTCCCAGGTGTGAGGATATCTTTAGCAAGTGCTCCTGAGAAACTGTCACTCACACTCTGCCTGGCCCCACAAAGGGTCCCAGACAGAAGAGCTGGAGAACGGGGGCAGAGAGAGGCGAAGCCAGCTCCGTGTCTGTCTGCCAGCTGCCCCTTCCCCCACCCAGGTGGGCAGAGAGCCTGTGAAGGTCCCCGTCTGTCTGTCTGGGGCGGGGTCGCCGTCCCACCAGCTGGGCGCTCGGTCTCTGGCCGAGCTCAGTAGAGCCTGGGATTACAGGGCAGCCTTGTTCAGTCACACAGTCAACAGCGGCGGAGCCAGGATTCGAACCCAACTTGTAGATTCCAAAAGGCTCTTGTGTGGCGGGGCTGAGACTGAGGAGGAGCAGTAGCGGGGGAGGAGCGGAAGGAGTAGGAGGAGAGGGGAGGGGAGCCAGGAAGAGGAGGCGGTGGAGGTGTGGACCGAGCTGGGGACGACACTATCAGCTTCCTCGAGCTGCTGCTGTAACGAGCGACCACAGACCTCGGGATGAGGCCAAGACAGATTCGTCCTCGCACAGCGTGCGGTCGGGATCTGAAACGAGTGTCGCGGCTGCAGTCACGGTGCTGGCCAGCTGCGCCTTCCGGAGGCTCCAGGGGAGAATCAGTTTCCTTAACGTCCCCGGCTGCTGCTGCTGCTGGCTGTGTCCTGTGGCTTGTGGCCTCTCCCTCCGCCGTCATAGCTCTGGCCTCCACTCTGGCGCCATGTGCCTTCTCCTCTGCCTCTGCCTCCCCCCGCCTCCCTTGGACCCTATCAGGCTCGCCCAGATACTCTGGGGCCGCCGGCCCATCTCAAGAGCTTCGCCTTAATCACACCTGCACAGTCTCTCGCCACAGAAGGGAACATTCTCAGGGGCGTGTGATTTGCATGTATTTGGGGGCCGTTATTCAGCCTACCACAGATGAAGGAGGAAGAAGAAAAGATACAGAGGAAAAAGACAGGTAGATGTGATGGCAGAGACGAAAGGACAAGAGAAAAGGACCTTCCCCTCTCAGCCTCAGTTTCCTCCTCTGTAAAATGGACACAGTGAGAGCATCTACTCCTAGAGGTTGCACAGGATTGCACAGTGGAGGTGCTCAGTCCCTCCATCCCCACTGCCCTCTCCTCCCTGTCAACCCACCTTCTGGCTTCCAGGGTCTTCCCTAGGGTTCCTACTTTCTTGCTTTCCGTCTAGAAGCACCCCCCATAGAATTCCCCTTCCCGCGGCCCCTCCCCCGCCCGGCCGGCCGGACTAATGCGTTGCAGCTTGAGCCTGCAGACGCCGCTGGCTCCCTCGCCCTGCTCGTTCCCCACCCAGCCCGCCGTCACTTCCAATCACTCCAGCACGAAACATTCTGCCAGGCCTGTCCCGCTGACAGCGGCCTTGCCTGGCTCTCAGACACCAGCACCTGGTCCTGAGCTCTGGCCTGTGGGCGCACACGCGTGCAGACTCCAAGGTCAACGGCTCGCCGAACCCTCTTCCTCTAGGACCCCCGGGCTTTTGAAAAACACCGGCCTATGCACTGTGCCCTCCCCAACCGCCACTAGCCCCCATTTCTCCTCTCTCCCAGTCACCAGAGAAAGCCACGGGGGACATTAGCCACCAAAGCCCCCCGGACGTCACCGTTTCTTCACGTGGGGGAACTGGCATTTCCTGAGCATCCGGGCACCAGGTCCTTTGCGGGCGTTACCTCAGGTAACCCTCATAACACCCGGGAAAGGAGACGCTCTGTTATCCCGTGTTGCAAATGGGACGGCTGCAGCCCAGAGAGGGCGTGTGTCTGTCCAGGGGTACACAGCATTCCTCCTCTCTTGCTCACTCTGGATCTGTCTGCGCACCCACCACCCCCAGTTATCAAGCACCTTCCACGGCCAGGCACTTTATAGAGGACGCTCTGGGCTAAATCGTGTCCCCCCGAAAAGAGTCCTAACTCCCGCTACCTGGGAATGTGACGGCAGCCGAAAAGTCTTTGCAGATATAATCAAGCTGAGGTCATACGAGATCAGGGTGGGCCCCAATCCAGCGACCGCTGTCCTTACAGGAAGAGGGAAATTTGGACCCCGACGCACAGAGGGAAGACGGCCACACGCAGGCAGAGGCTGACATCGGACTGACTGACGCATTCGCAGCCAGGCAATGCTGGGGCTTGCCAGGCCTCCGGGAGCTAGAAGGCAAGAAGGGCTCCTCCCGCTGACACCTCGATTCAGACTTCTGACCTCCGGACCTGTGAGCGAATAGGTTTCTGTTGCTTTAAGCCACCGTTTGTGATAATTTGTTACAGCAGCCCTAGGAAACTGACGCAGATGCTATTTAATCCTTGCTACACCTTATAACATGGGAACAATTGTTTCCCATTTAACAGATGGGAAAACTGAGGCTGGAAAAGGGGACTGTTGCTGAAGGTCAGTTGAGAGCAGAGCTACAATTTCAACCCAGGTCCAGCAGGCCTTAAAACATGCACTCCCTGCCAGCAATGGAACGTCAAACCTGGATGCACCCCAGAATTAGTCAGGGAGCCAGTTAAAATGCTGATGCCAGGGCCGCATCCCTGCAGACGCCAGCGTGATCTGTCTGGGCGGGGCCCTGGGGTTCTGAGGCAGCCACGCTGGGGAAATGTTTCTCACCACACCTCCCTCCCCCACGACAGTGTGTACAGGTCACCTGGTGGTTCGCCACAGAGAGGGACAGGTGGGGCCGAGGTGGGGGGAATGAGGCAGGAGTGGGGGTGGCCGGGGTGAGGAGGACGCGCCAGGAAGCTCAGCCCTGCTGCCCCCGTCTCACGGGACTCACGTCCAGCCGCCTCCGCCCTGCCCTGGCCCATCCCGGGTCCTCAAGCCCTGGGACCTTCGTCTTCCTGAGCCTCCTAGAGTCCCCAAGCGCGGCACGTGGACCCGGTCTGTGGGCATCTCGCCCGGACACCCTCCCCAGCTCCTACCCACCGCGGCCACGTCACGGCTCGCAGAACAGAGCCCTCAGAGGGAAAGGGTCTCGTCCAGAAACTCGTGGCCAACCCCTGACAAAGCTTTGCTTCGGGTCCTTTCCTTCTAACTTCCAGAACATACCAAGCTAACCGAGAAAGCAGGAGTCAGGCCAAGGAGGAGCAGACAGCGGGCCTTGGGAGAGGGGGCCGGCGAGGTGAGGGGCCAGAGGCGGCTGGCACACAAGCGTGCCATGTGCCAGCATGGGCTAGAGGCTGCATGTCATTGTCACACTTGATCATATTATCGCATCTGTCCATTTTACAGATGCAGAAACAAAGCCTCAGAGGGGTAAAGTCACCTGGCCAGGCTCTGACTACCAGCTCACAAGTGATGGAGCTGGGATTTGAACCCGGCCCTGCTTGCCTTAGAGCCCCACACCCTTCCCACTCTGCCTGCCGCTTCTCCGGCCCTCAGCCTGTTCCCAGACCACACCCTCCCAAACAGGAATCCAATTTGCAAACCAAGTGTGCAGGGCCATTGGCAAGAGGCGCCCGCCTCGGAGCTATTAGTTTACAGCAAGTGCTCAGCTGGGCTGCGCGGAGAGGCATCCAGGGGTGCTGGCAGCAGCAGCAGCCTCCCCCCCAATATTTCAAAGAAAGATTGAAGCCACATGTGTGGAGGCCGTAAGCTGATTGCTAGAAGGACATTCCATACAAACAGCATAAGGCAGAGCTTGTCACTTGAACTCACCTTTGGTTCCCGACCCAGCTCCAGCTCCCAGAGCCAGCTATGGCCGCCTCCCTCCCGTCCCCGAACTGTAGATCCGGAACGCTGGGCCACTGCGCCCAGGCCAGCTGGGAAGCGGGAAAAGCAGCAGGCAGCAGGTGCAAGCGACAGGTTCTCCTGGGCCTCAGGGTGGGCGGATGGGAAGGGGAAAGCGAGACACGGCCAAGACAGGCTCATAGCTGACCTTGGGGGAGGGTGCTGGGTCTGGAGTCTTGTTCCCCCTCCGCCCTTTATCTCGGGCAAACCGAAGTCCCCTCTGAGACAAACGGGCTGGGGTGGTGGGCGTCTCTCCCAGCCTCAAGATCAGCACGTCCTGGAGACCCATCAGCGGCCCTGGGCGGGGGCGGAGCCTGGAAAGCAGGCCCCTGGAGACACAGGTGGGGCCAGCAAGGAGGGGGGACCCTGGGCCACACGGGCTGAGGGCTTAGGGTTACCAGAGCCAAGGCAGCACACGTGTGTTTCAAATTTTCTTTCAAGTCTTCCCGATGCGGCCGGCTCCCCTCCCCCAGCCCCCTGCTCCCAGGCGGTAATCAGTTTGGATGGAGGCAGCAGACCTGGGGGAGGGGCGCGTGGGGAGCAGCCGGGCTGGGAATCATTTCAGGGTTTTGTTACCTGCCAGCGGCTCAGCTCGGGGGGCCACGGGAGGGGGCGGGGCACGGAGACGTGGACACCGGCTATGCCCAGACGGGCCCAAGTGCTGGTCAGCGGCCGAGCGGGGACATGGGGGTGGTGGCAGAGGAGTCAGCCCTGGAGCTCCAGCTGCACGTAGGATGCACTGGAATCTGACGGCCGGGGCTCAGGTCCTGGCTCTGTCCCTTGCAGGCTGAGTGGCCTTGGCTGTATTATTTAACCCTTCTAAGCTTCAGTGGCCTTGTTTGTGAAATGGGGCCGACATGCACATCATGGCTGTGAAGGCGGGATAAATAAGCCTCCGGAGGGCTTAGTGCAGGTAGGTGGGCGTCTGGCAGCGACCCTCTCCAGGGGGAGTAGAGAAGGGGGCGAAACAGGGTCCCTCCCCCAGAGACGGGGAGGCCACAAGGTCAGCCCTTGGCTGCTGGGGCCATCAGCCCACAGAGATCAGGGCTGAGTAGCAGGCGAAGCTTCCGGCATGGTGCCTGCTGTGGTCGGTGTCGGCAGGTGCCAGTGAGGGGGACAAAGAGTCTCTGCCTAGGCAGCCTGTACGGAGGCTCCCCGCCCGTCCCGGCGTCTGAGCACCCTCCGCGTCTGATCCCCGTCCCCACCACCCCCAGGTGATGTCTGGCCACCCTGGCCTGTCCTCAGCAAGAATCCTGCAGCTGGGTTTGGCCCAATCCCCGTCACCGGACGTTTCCTCTTAGTCGCTTTCTGTCCTCCACCCCACCTGCTCCTCGGCTGTCAGGTCCCACTGCCTGTGCCGTGTTCAGAGCTGAGCCCAGTTCTGTTCCGAGGTCTCCTTCCCCCTGTTGCAATAGTCCTGAATAAACTCTGTTCTCGCCGATTCCAGCCTGGTTTCCTCAGACGGCAGCCCGCATCGTGTGGTTGGGGCAGGCGCCGCTACCCTGCTCCTAAAGCCGCCTCCTCCCCAGGTGGAAGAGCCCCCCGCCCCCAGCCGTCCTCTCCTGACCACCGGCCACCCAGCTTCTGCTCAGAGGCATCGGGCGGCCTGCTTCCACCTACTTTTGGGGTGTGGAGGCTTAATTATTCTTTTTGCCCCTCCATTCTGGAGGTGCTATTCTAGATGGTTCCAGATTCCAGGCCACCCGTTCTGGACTTTGTGAGGTCAGAGGGCCCCTTGAGAATCACATGTGATGCTCGCTGCCCTGGGAAATGCATCTGCACACAAGACTCTGCCACCGCCCCTGGAATCCCTAAATTAAGGCGACCCCCCTTGGGCTCAAGCTCCATCCCCCGTTCCTGCCGGAGAACCAGTCCTCAGGCCGAGCGTCCCTGCTGAGCCCGCGCAGGGGAGGTGGAGGCCTCGGTGCCAGATGGTGGCCCCAGTGGGGCTCAGGGACTGTGGCGTCCAGCCCCCGGGAAGGGCCAGCATCGCCCTCGCCAGACCTCGAGGACACCGTCCGTCACTCTGCGTGTCGAAGCCAGAGGCTGTGCTGGCTCCCTTCCACCCTCATTTTACAAACGGGGAAACTGAGGCTCAGAGAGGCTCCCGGGGTCAGCCCAGGTCACGGGGGCTTTTCCCAGCTCTCCCGCAGGTTTCCGAGCCTGAGGCCCGAGCGCCCGGGGCCTGGAGCAGGGGACCCGGCGAGGGGAGGTCGCCGGCCGGGCCGTGGAGGGGTGGGTGTCAGCGCCCGTGGAGAGCAGAGGTCCCGCCTGCCAGGTCCCAGCGGGAGAACAGACGGCCGATTCACCCACCAAACTTGGCACCTGCAACAAAAGAAACAATATGTGTTTGGCTCCCTAATCTTTCCCGCAGGTTCCCAGGCAGGTGACTGGAAAGTCTGATGACAAGAAAGCATCAGCTCGTCAACTCGCCTCTCTCAGGTCAAAAACCACAAGCCGGCCTGGCTGCTGTCCCGCCTGCCCCTCCGCCCCACCCCGCACTCCTGCCTCCCTCTGCTTCCCTGCCCGCCCAGGCCTCCTGCAGCGGCTCTGCGTCCCCTCAGAGCCAGTCCCTGGGGACAGTGAGATGGGGCAGGCACTGGGAGGCGCCCCTCACTCCAAACATCATGCCCCTTCTCTTCTTTCACACCCACCACAACCCTGTGGGGTAGATTTATTATTAATATTATCCCATTGTGCAGATGAGAAGACTGAGGCAATAACCAATAGGCTGCATGGTCTGTCTGTAAGTAGCAGCGCTGAGTGCCTCCAGCAGCGGGGTGGGTTGAGTTCCCTTGCGGCCAGGGCACCGCCCACTTTCCAGATCTCAAGAGAGCGGCGTGGCCTGGGGACTGGGTCTGGGCCCACTGCTCACAGGCTCTGCCCCACTGGGGGCCTCGGCGAGCGGGGGGCGTGGAAACACTCCCCTGGGCAAGTCTGAAGGTACAGCCCAGGTTTCCTGCAGCTTTGGGAAGTCAGCGAGGAAGGGGCTCCACTGTAGGCCCTGGAGTTAAATAACTACATCGGCTCTCGGCTATTGAGCACCTACTGTGTCCCTGGCACTTGATAGGAACTCCACGCGGGCTTCCCTTAGTGGGCTCTGTATGGCGTGTACCACAGTCCCAGGTGCACAGATGAAAAATTGGAGACACAGAACAGTGATTTTTCCAGGTCACACAACCAGTTAAGGGCGCAGGCCGGGACTCTTTCCACTGCCTCAGCGGTTTCCCTGTGCCCTCCGCCCCCAGCCCCAGCCCCAGCCCCAGCCCCGGGGAGGGTGTTAATGAGGCCAGCACAGGGAGAGGCCAGGGTGAGGAGCTGTGCCCACAGGTGCCGGCAGGCCTTCCTGCGGTGGCCAGCCCAGGGCCTGGCGCCACCCTGCCCAACCTGTGATGGTGGCCGAAACCCCCTGGGGTGGGGTGGGGGCCCTGCATGCGCCTGGGCCCTGCCCAGACCCCACCCTGGAGACCTAGAGTCTGTCTCCCAGGGACTGCGGTCCTTCCCACTCTGGGATCCCTGGCGGGGAAGGCGCAGCTCGGGAGTGCCCGGCGCTGGCCAGAGGGCTGGGAAGGGGGCGCTGGCGGGAGGTGGTGAAGCAAGAGTGGCGAGACCGCGGGGGCCTGGTCTTCCATCGTCTTTTTCTCTTTGTGCCCAGCTGGTAGGATCTTTGACTCTTTTCCTCTCTGTTTCTGGGTGACTCAGGGGTCAAAGAGTTTGTGGTGTGTTGGCAAAATCCAGGATGGGAAGCCAGGAGGCCTCATTTTAGCCCCATTCTCCTGGGTGACCCCAGGGCATTCTTTGCCCTCTCTGGGCCTCAGGCTGCTGGATGCATCTGCTGGACCACAGTTTGGAGCTCCTCCGGCCCCGCAGTCCCTGGGGCCCAGGCCACACCAGGGCAGTGAGGAGCTCAGGAGCAATGTTGTCTGTTTTCTTCACACGGAGAACATCTGAGAGGCAGTTTCTGGCTCTCAGTGGAAAGAGATTTAAAGAGAAAAATAAACAAAGCATGAAAGTGCCTCTTACTGACAAGGCCAGGCCTTGTTAGCTTCGCCTCTGCTGCTACCCTTCCTCTCTGTCTCCTCTGTGACACAGGAGCCAGTTCTCAAACCCCCAGCCCTTTCCTGCACTGTCCTCTCTTTCAAGTTCTACTCAAGAAAGCCTGCTTCAAAATGTGGGGTCAAGGGAGGATCAAAATGAGAAGATTGCCAAAACTCCATAAGAAGACCCCAGAAAATGACTGGGCTACAAAATGTATCACCACCACCACCACCACCATCATGATTACCACTTTATCCATCACCACGACCATCATTACCACCATCATTACCACCACCATCATTACCACCATCATTACTACCACCACCACCACCACCACCATCATTACCACCATTACCACCACCACTGTCATTACCACCATCATTACCACCACCACCACCACCACTGTCATTACCACCATCATTACTACCACCACCACCACCAGCATGATTACCACCACCACCACCACCATCATTACCACCATTACCACCACCACTGTCATTACCACCATCATTACCACCACCACCACCACCACTGTCATTACCACCATCATTACTACCACCACCACCACCAGCATGATTACCACCACCATCACCAATGTCATTACCACTGTCATTAACTACCACCACCACCACCACCATGATTACTACTTTATCCATCACCACCACCATCATTACCACCATCACCACCACTGTCATTGCCACCATCACCACCACCATCATTACCACTATCACCACCACTGTCATTACCACCATCACCACCACCATCATGATTACCACTTTATCCATCACCACCACCATCATTACCACCATCATTAACTACCACCACCACCACCACTGTCATTACCACCATCATTACCATCACCACCACCATGATGATTACCACTTTATCCATCACCACCATCATCATTACCACCATCATTACCATCACCATCACCAGCACCACCACCATCACCACCACCATCATTACCACCATCATTACTACCACTGTCATTACCACCATCACCACTACCGCCATTACCACTATCATTATCACCATCACCACTACCACCGTCATTACCACCACCACCATCATTACTACCACCGTCATTACCACCATCACCCCACTGCTGCCATTACCACCATCACCACCACCGTCATTACCACCATCATTACCACCATCACCACCACCACTGTCATTACCACCACCACCATCACCATTACCATCATCACCACTTTGTCCATCACCACCATCACCTCTACCATTACCACCATCATCACCACCATCATCATCATCACCACCATCCCTGTCACCATCACCATCACCACCACCACCTCCAACACTATCACCATTACCTCCACCATCTGCTATTTATTACCATTATTGTTAATAGGCGTATACAATAAAAGCAATAACTAATGATTATTGAATGCTTACCAAAGGACATGCATCATAATAACTTAAATAATCTGTCTAAGTCACATATGTAGGGTCTTAGCTTGGATTCCCCAGAAGTCAACCTTGAACCAATCATTCAAATGCAAGTAATTTATTTGGGAGGTGAAATAACAAAGTGGGAAGTGAGATAGGGATAGGAAGAGACAGGGAAGGGAAGACAGCCAAGAAAAAAGGTATATTATCAAACAAGCTACAGCTGTGGGAAAATGAGCTTAATCTTGCCGGGAGAATTCTGGAAGCCAGTGAAGAGCGCTTCAGAGTAATCCCACTGGAGGATGAGGAAGCTGGGTGTTTACACACCGACTCTGGCCGGTCATCGGTTGGAGGCTGCTCACAAGGGGCGTCAATGCCCCATCACTTCCAGCCTTCTGCACATAGACCAGATAAGGCTCAGCTGCAGAGAGAACCCTCAGGCAAAACGCTTTAGGTTCTGGCAGTTGGAATTCAGACCTGCGTGCACTGAGACGGTATGAACGGGGAGAACATGGGAAGAGAATTGACAGCATCTGCTACTGGCAGCAAGCAGTGAAATGAGGATTTCCAAGTCTATAAATAGATGAGCATATGGCTGGCTGGATGAATGGATGAAAAAATAGATGGACAGACATATGAACAGATGGACAGATGGATAAGTAGATGATTGAATGGGTAGACGTTCAAAAACATGGATGTTTAAGTGGATTAGCAATGGATGGACGTCTGGCTGTTTGAATGTTTAGATGGATGGGCAGATATGTAATGGGTGGATAAATAAATGGGGAATGGGTGAATAAATGGAAGGATGAATGGATGGTTGAAATTTTTATGGTATGGGTAAACGTGTAGATTGTTTAAGAATTGTATGTATTACTGAGTGGGTAGAAAGATGAGTAGACAGAGGGAGGTAAATATACGGTAGAGAGAGGGGCAGAAGGTTGGGAAGATAGATGACTGGGTTTGGGATAAGAGAAGGGCTACGGCTTCGTGGAGCAGAACCTCGACAGTGATCTTAGTTGGAGTGAGCTCAGCTAATGTCGTCCCCATCACACCCCACCCCTCACTGCCCCAGGAGGACCCGAGTCTAAGCCTCAGAAGCATCCCAGCTGTGGTCTAATGTTGATAACCAATCCCATCAGGAATGCAGTGAGGACCAGTGCAGACCCATGGCGGCTGTAGCAGAGGCCTGGCTTAGGGGAGCCTGTGAGGTGGAACTGGAAGTGTAGGCTGGAGTCCC